TTGCCATATTTGAATTCAATCTTGTTCAGATCCTTGTATATAATGATCGATCTCTTTGCATTGTAAAGGTAGAATTCAATCAATAAAATAAAATGTTCTCTATTATCGGATTCTTATCGGTATCAGAGCGATAGATCCATTAAGGATGTCACATGTCGGCAAAAATCATGACAGGAGTAAAGGGAGAAAGCAGTAAGAAAGTTGAAGACACCATCAATGCCAATTCACCCTACTACATCCATCCGTCTCACTACCCCAAGAAGATGCAGGTTAACGATGTATTGAATGACAAAAACTTTAATGAATGGAAACTAGAGATGACGAATTTTCTGTTTGCAAAGAAAAAAATAGGATTGGTCGATGGATCAATCAAGAAACCAGAATCTACTTCTCCCATGTACATGGCGTGGATGCAAGCTAACGCTATGATCAAAGGTTGGCTGACAACAACCATGGAAAAGGACATTCGAACCAGACTGAGATATGTAAACACCTCAGCCGAGATCTGGAAGGACTTGGAGAGATACAAGGCTTGTATCGTTGCAAATTTAGGGTTATACTCAAATGGAAGGTGTGGATTTTCATGACACCTTTGCTCTGGTAGCCAAGCTTGTCACGGTCCGTGTGTTGCTAATGATAGTATTAAACGTGACTGGATCATACATCAACTAGATGTAAATAACGCCTTCGTACATGGCGATCTAGAAGATGATATATATACATGAAAATACCATAGGGTTTTAGAAAAGAAAACGAGACACGAGTTTGCAAGCTAAAGAAGTCTTTGTACGGTTTGAAACAAGAATCAAGGAATTGGTATCATAAGTTGACAGCTACTCTTCAAAGTCTTAAGTTCCGACAGTCGCATGCAGACCGTTCACTTTTTATTCATAAAAGTGAAAATATACTTGTGGCCGTTCTCATTTATTTAGACGATTTCATAACTGTTGGGAATAACCGAGAGAAGATTGAGGACCCGAAATCAAGTCTTGATAACAGTTTCAGTATCAAAGACCTTGGGAATCTGAAGTGCTTCTTGGGAATAGAAATAGCTCGAACAGAAGAAGGGCTTGTTGTAAGTACGTTTCCCAGCCGTTTCCCAATAGAGAAAAATTTAAAGCTAGATAAAGAAGAATAAGAAGATCGAGTTGATGCAGGCATGTATGGACGTCTTGTTGGTAGAGTTATTTATCTTCAAGCTATTAGACCTTATATACCTTATGCAGTAAACGTTCTTAGTCAAGTCGTCTTTGATCCTAGGCAGAAACATTTGGATGCAGCCATGAAAGTACTTCGATACCTCAAAAGCACGTTGGGAAAAGGGATATTGGTACTAAACTGACTGCCTATAGTAATTCAGACTGGTTGGGATGCCCATTTTCACAAAGATCACGAACAGGATATCTATTTATTTTAGGTGGTGCTCCAATTTCTTGGAAGTCCAAGAAGCAGTCGGTTGTTTCAAGATCCTCAGCTGAAGCTGAGTACCAAGCTATGGCTACCATGCCAACGCCACTCCTGTGCGACAATGAGTCGGCTCGTCACATTGCTTATAATTCTGTACTTCATGAGCGTACAAAGCACTTAAAATGGATTTCTACTTTGTACGAGAACGTGTAGAGTCAAAAGAGATAACACTTGTAAGTAGACTTGGAAAAACCTGACATGACACGACAATCGACACAAACCCGACAAGAAATTAACGGGGTTTGGGTAAGAGATTTCGAGACGTTTATGTAAACGAGTTGACACGACACGACACGATGACTCGAATATGACCCGTTTAATTATATATCATTTTCATAAATTTCATATTTTTATAAATATATTATATATTATAGGTTTGTAGTGGGCCAAACTCAACAAATAAAAGTAAAATTCAAACTTTCAAAGTGATTTAATTATACTCATCCTCACCACCTATCCCCTTTGCTCCCTAACTCTAACTCTTTCTATTTTGTTTTCTAAACTTACTATAAATTTTGTCATTCCACCTCCCACCTCCAATGTTTCACTTTTTCCTATTCACCTCATTGTCTCATACTTTCCAACCTTTTAAAATGTTTCAACCCGACATGACACAACATATTTATAAGGTCTAAACGTTAACCCGCAACCCGACATGAAATCGACACGAAAATAAACAGGTTGACACAACACGACACGATAATTAAATGGGTCGGGTTACGGTCAAGCCCTCTCAACCCTTTTAATGTCTTGACACGATACGAACCCGACACGTTTGTCATGTCTACTTGTAAGGATCAAAATGCAAGATCAGTTAGCTGATTTGCTAACTAAACCTCTTGGTTCAGATCAGCTCAAATTGTTGTCAGTCAAGTTGGGCATTCGGAATCTTCATGTTCCAACTCGAGGGGGAGTAACGGATTCTAGATCCTTCTGTTAGGATAATCACAAGTTATTTTTATCTTTTATCATATTTATCTATTGTCTAATTTGAATTCAATGTTGTTCAGATCCTTGTATATAAGGATCGATATCTTTGCATTGTAAAGGTAGAAAACAATCAATAAAATAAAACATTCTCTACTATCGGATTCTTCATCGCATACTCTTCATGTAAGGTCGTACCATGATTATTCGTAAATCTTAATTAGCTTCATAATTAATCACTTTCTCTGGGTCCTTGAAGGTCGTACTTCTTGGCAAATCGTTGATGTACTTATAGTTATATATCACAATTGGTATAAGTTCCTTTAACTATTCTTCAAATTAAAACAATTGAATCACCAATTATACATACAATTAAATCTCAGGATGGCTTATCTACGATGTTTCTTTTAGCCGGAATAATTTTTTTTGGCTTGGTTTTTATCTCTTAATAGGCTCATTCTTTTTTTACTGGCTTTGTGCTTTTTACTTTGGCTTCGTACTAACTGTTGTTTTCTTCAAAACTGTGGGTCATCGGAATTGGAGGTCTTTGCTTCTCCTGTTTCCCATTCTTTCGATCTGGGGAACCTGCGATTCTTCTCCCAAATGGGACCACTGTTCTGCCTCTCCTTTTCTCGACTCGGGTCAGAAGCAACAAAAATTCTCAGTGGGGACCCCTTCAGTCCAGTAACGCACCATCCTTTTGGATCGACCTGCTGCCAAAGTTCATCGGTGTCGCCATCGTTCAACACCTAACCCAAGCTTTACATCACCCTTCTTCCATGTCCGGATTCACCTCTGGTTTAGGTGATCTCCAGAACGATTTTGGACCATCATCTTCAGCCAGTACCGCCACCAGCCACGCGCCCCAATGCATCACCTGTGAAACATCCCCAACATGACCCCCTTCACCGCCATGCACCACCGTCGTGGTTGAAGCCGGACGAACCAAACATCTTCATCTCCATTCAAAGTCTCAGCTTTTCAGGTATTCTTTAATTTTCAATTTTTTTTCTTGTCTTATACCTTTTCTGATTCCTATACTTATACTATATTCTAATCTTCGATGTAAAGTATGCATTTTATATATATATATATATATATATATATATATATATATATATATATATATATATATATATATATATATGGTGAAATAGAATCAACTAATGTCAGACATCTCAAAATAAAGATTTAAACAAATAGTATTCCTCTGAAAAAGACCAATTACTTGATTAAAAAAAACAAAATTTGAAAGTCTATTTATTACCAAATAAAGAGGATAATTTAAAAAAAAACTATAGATATGATCTTTTTATCATATAAATATATTCATTCTTAAACTAAAAATAACTACTAAATTTATAAATCATCATTAGAAACAAATAATAACCAAGAAAATTCCACCAGAAATAAAGAAATTTTTTTAGCATACTCAAGAATATTCCTAGCAAGAATTATTTAGGAAAAAACGATATTATATATATGGAAAAAAATAAAGATAGAAAATTTTTGTATAAAATTAATAAAAATATTAAGGTTGAACCTAATAAGGACCAAATAAAGGCTAAAAAATAAGGACCAAATAAATGATAAAATTCATAATAATGGTCTTTGGCTAAATACAAAGACTATTTTTACAATTTTGTCAAATTCTTTAAAAAAAATATGGTCAATATCCCTTTATTCAATGTTACATTTTATTTAATTATCTTCACTTTTAGTCAAAGTAAGTATGTGATGTTCTAGACGCTTTTCAAAGAACCAAATAAATAAATAAATGCAGGGAAAAGTGACATCTCTTTATATTTAATTATCCTCAATATTTATCTTCTGTTATGGGGTTCACCTGTTCAAGGAATGCATCATCAGCTTCATTCATTTAATAGATTTTCTTAAAAGGCCACAACTATTGACCTGTCTCCATTGACCCATTCACATAATTGACTGGATCATACAAGAGAAATATAATATCTTTTTACTTTTTTTTCCTTTTTTTTTTTTCTATACGATAACAAATGTCTTAAATTATTATTAATTTTATTAAAATGTAAGACTTGTCGGTTGTCATGGTTTTCCATGAGTAGAAAAAATATATATATATAGATGAATATTTAATTTCTCTTCACATAATTTGGACATGCTAATGGTCTTAAATTAATTGATATTGGTATAAGTTACATAATTTAGATCTATTAATACATTAACTAATTAACATAATTTGGACCTGAGAATCGTCTGAATATTATTATCAGTTACATAATTTTATTCTGAAGTAAAACACACTCCAAGTGAAACTTGCACTAAAATTTATCTGAAAAAAAAATCATGTCTAACTATTTTAAATTTATTTTCTAAAGTTCTTTTTCTTTTTCTTCCTAGCTATATTGTCATGAGGAATACAATTCAAAGAGTAATAAGTCCTTTGTGGAAAAGTATGACATTTAACTTCTACATAAAAGACAATCCTTGTGGAAAAATATGAAATTGCCATAAAATTCTTTTTAGAATAAAAGGAAATGAAATAAACAAGAACAAAGGGTAGCTCAAGTATAAAGTAGGATTTACCCAAACCATCCTTTTTATAAAACAACATGGCAAAGCAAATAATGTCTTCTTCAAACTTCTTATTTTTCTCTCTTGTTCTACTAATCATTACAGTACTCTCGCCTGTTCCAAATTTTGCTTCTGCTTCTGTGGAGGAAGGCAATGCTCTTCTTAAATGGAAAGAAACCCTTCAAATCCAAACAACTCCTTACTCTCTTCATGGATTCCCCCTCCCTATGAATTCCACTGCATCGATCCCATGTACTTCTTGGTTGGGAGTAGTTTGCAATGTTGATGAGAGCATTCAGAAGTTGAATCTCACGTCTTCAAGAAATTTCATTCTTTTTGCTACAAAATCTTACACATTTTGATCTCAGAGTAAACAGCTTCTTTGGCCCTATCCCACCACAAATCCGACTCCTGTCCAAACTTATCTATCTTGATTTTTCACAGAATATGATTTCACCCACCTGAAATTGGAGGCATGGTCTCACTTGAGTTCCTAGACTTATCCTCAAACAATCTATCTAGCACAATTCCTTCATCATTGGGTGCTTTGACATCTTTAAATGTCCTTTCTTTGTACCAAAATCAGCTCTCTGGTCCCATTCCTTCATCACTAGGAAATCTGAGCAACCTACAATCTCTGTACGTAGCTGAGAACAATTTATCTGGTCCCATTCCTAATGAACTTGGGAATTTGAAATCTCTCACTTTTCTGGTGATGGCCATGAATCAACTTAGTGGTTACATTCCTGCATCACTAGCAAACCTGAGCAACCTATATCGTCTGAACCTGGCTCATAATAAGTTATCTGGTCCATTTCCTATTGATCTTGGGAAATTGAAGTCTCTCACTAGGCTTCTGGTAAGCAACAATACACTTAGTGGTTCTATTCCTTCATCAATTGCAAATCTGAGCAACCTACAATTTCTGTTCCTCGATCAGAATAAATTATCTGGTCCAATTCCCACTGAACTTGGGAAGTTGAAGGCTCTCACTAATTTTCAAGTGAGTGAAAATCTACTTAGTGGTTCTATTCCTTCCTCGTTAGAAAACCTCAGTGACCTACAGTGTATGTTCCTAGAAAAGAATAATTTTTCTGGTCTCATTCCTATTGAACTTGGGAATTTGAAGTCTCTCACTGAACTTGCACTAAGCAACAATCAACTTAGTGGTTCTATTCCTTTGTCACTAGCAAACATGAGCAACCTACAATCTTTGTACCTTGATGGGAACAATTTATCTGGTCCCATTCCAATTGAAGTAGGGAATTTCAAGTCTCTCAATGATCTTGATGTGAGCAACAACAAACTTAGTGATAGCATACCACCAGAGTTTGCAAATTCAACTCAACTACAAAGGCTTGATCTTTCTTTCAATAACTTGGTAGGTGAAATCCCTAAAGAATTTGGGAAGATGAAAAGCATGCTGAATTTGTACTTGTCTAATAACCAACTTTCAGGCACCATACATCTGGAGCTTGGATCATTCCAAAAACTCCTTTTAATCAATCTATCCGCAAATAGATTGAATGGGTCGATACCGGTAAGTATTGGTCAATGGGCACAAATCCATTACGTACCTGAATCTTAGTAATAACAAGCTCAGTGGAAAAATTCCGTCCGAGATTAGTAAATTAGTTCATCTTACAGAATTTGATTTATCTCGGAATTTCCTCACAGAAGAGATACCATGTGAAGTTCAAACTTTGCAAAATTTGGTGGTATTAGATCTTTCCCACAATATGCTATCCGGTTCCATTCCTAATGCTTTTACAAATTTGCCTCGCGGAATTGATATTGACCTGTCTTACAATGAGCTCACAGGTGCAGTTCCTCAAAGCCCCAACTTTGTGAATGCGTCCATACAAGGCAATCCAGGTTTGTGTGGAAATGTTACGGGATTGAAACTTTGTGTAAGTAAAATTTTGAAGAAGAAAAACGATCCCTTTCATTATAGGCTCATCCTCGTAATTCTGCTCCCCCTAGTTTTACTTGGTTTATTCACGTATGGCGGGCCTCATTGCTTATCGACAACAAAATCCACAGAAACCACTGGAAGAAGAAAGTATTGATTATTTTTCCATTACAGGTTTTGATGGAAAAATAGTGTATGATGATATCTTGAAAGCAACAAATGATTTCGATGAAGCATATTGCATTGGGGTTGGAGGATATGGGACCGTGTACAAAGCCGAGCTACAACCTAAAAATGTTGTAGCTGTCAAGAAACTTCACTTATCATCTGAGAATGTTGATAATAATGGATTCCTTAATGAGGTACGAGCATTAACGAACATATGGTTATTGCTCCCACACCCGCCACTCAATTTTGATTTATGAATACCTTGAAAATGGCAGCCTTGGATCAATGTTAAAAAGCCATGTGTTAGCAAAAGAATTGGATTGGTTAAAAAGGGTCAATATTATAAAGGCTATTGCCAACGGTTTGACTTATATGCATCATGACTGCTCACCTTCTATAATTCATAGAGACATTTCCATTGCCAACATTCTTCTTGATTCTGATTATGAGGCACGAATTTCTGATTTTGGGACATCCAAGCTTTTAAAGCTAGACTCATCCAATTGGACTGCAATTGCTGGAACATACGGTTATATCGCGCCGGGTAACGTAATCTTGTGATTGTTGTTCTACATCTTCCTAAGTTTCATGATGTACATAAATGTATCTATGTTACAATTATGTGAGTGTTTTTATTTTTATCTTATTTTTCTTTGGATGTAGAGCTTGCTTATACGATGGTGGCAACAGAGAAATGTGATGTGTATAGCTTTGGAGTTGTTGCACTAGAAGTGGTCATGGGAAAGCATCCTGGAGAACTCATAACATCTTTACCAACATTATCTGATGATCATCTGGTGAAAGCAAATCTGAGAGATAGTCGGATACCTCCTCCCTCACAAGTTGAGGAACAAGTTGCATTGGTGCTTAGACTCTCAAGAGCATGTTTGAACTCCAATCCACTAGAAAGGCCAACGATGCTCCAAGTTTCAAATCTGTTGATGAAGCCCTGATACAGAGTACTTCTAATGTCCTTTATTTTTTGTAGTTTCCTATGATGCACCATGATAATATTTGTGCAATTAAATGCCTTATTGTTAAAAATACTAATGATATGTTTTCTTATATCTGCATTTAAATGCCTACTGGTTATGATACTCCGGTCTCTGGATATGATTTCTTATATCATTATGTAGTAGATAAACAAATAAGTCAATGAAAATTGCAATCCTTCTAGAAATTTGGCTACAAAAGTTTCAATTGTAGTTTTGCAGGGGCTTTTCATAAGTTTTATTTTCAGGTGAAATTAGCACTTTTTCCATCACTTGGAATGTCAATACATGTAAAAAGTAGCAAATAATCAAATGAAAATATGTTGCTATTGTTGGTAAAAGAAAATGACGTTAGCTAAATCTCATAAATGAAGTATCTTTGTTAATGTAGGGTTATCTTTTATTCTAAACCAATCAACTTGCAAGAGTTGTTACTTTGTCATTTTGAATATAAAACTCGATATTGTTTTCCCTTTTGTCTCTACAACAGTCTTTTTAGTTTATCAATGGAATCGTGAAGAGATTAAAATTATATTAAATATGTAATTATATGCATAAAGAAAGAATTAAGCACTTAATATGTGCAGTAACAAAAAAAAAACGATTTAATGTATTAAGACACTAAGCCTTTGCCTGTCTACATGTGAAAATTGATGAATATTCTTATAATGTGTTCGATTTACAAATGTAATACACATATTTTTGAGGTTGTTCAAATAGACATCAAGATTTTCAACCTCTGTCCGTCTGCATCTCTCTAAAATCAAGTTAAATTTGACTACTTCATATACAGGGTCAAAATGGTCAAACTTTGCATTTGAAAGATCTCTTACATCTCGAGATGATATATATGTCCCAGAATTGAAATGACCAATAGCTTCTATGACACAACCTACATACTTTTCATTTCCACGAATGATTTTAGGGTTATTTTTGGCATGTCACCGCTACAATTCTTCCATTGCATTATACACCCGGACACTATGCACATCTGGATTGGTGAAAATCTCGGCATCTTTCCCTGAATCTCTACACACAAGGGTATTTTGTGGTAATTTACCCTCGCCCCTTAATATTTTTTGCAGATAAGCTAAATAAATTAGTCAATTTTTTATTTTGTCGGAAACAATAGCTGATAAAAACAATTTGAAATTAATGTTTTTAAGATTACTTACAACTTGAATTCACCTTCTTATTACCTTTGTTTATAAGAGTATCTTGTCACCTCAGCTGATTGAATGCTGCAAATAGAAAACCCCCAACATAAACTATAATTAGATGTTGCATCACAAGGTAGAGAAGGAAATAGAGATATCTAATGCTTAGCCCTTTAAACAACAGAAAAGGAAGTAAGGTATGCCGATTAAACAACAACTCCAACTACCAAATGGATGATTTTTGTAATTTGGCCTAGAAGGAAATAGATATATTCAATGTTTAGCCTTTTAAAAACAGTAACTCCAATTCCAAATTCAAAATGAGATGAAAATTGACTTGTCTACAAGTATCAAGCCTTATCTCTAGTATTGAGATTGTAAAAAAAACACAGATAAATATATCAAAATATCTCTTTGATTTATAATTGGAAATATCACTCAAAAACCAATTGGTTTACAATGTGTTTTGTGTTGCTCTGCATGTTCATAGCTCGATATATGCTATATATATATATATATATATATAAGCTGGAGTAAGCTTATAATATTAAACAAGCAAAGAGACCCAACCACTCTTTGATGATGTCCCCTACTTTGTTCCAGAAATTGTGTTAGCTTTTAGGAGTGGAAGACATGGGTGGAGAGAAATGATGACTTAAGATTCCAACAATCACCCCCGAATCTCTAAGTCCTTCTAGAGATTCCCGATCACCGCCAATCTTTAAGTCCTTCTAAAGATGTCTTCAATCCCGATCAAGTCCCGCATTGTCTTGAACTTGGTTCGAGCCAATGGTTTTGTGAGAATGTCTGCCTTTTGTTCTTCACCTGGAATGTACTTTACCTCCACTTGTTCCTTTTCAACACACTTACGAATGAAGTGAAACCTCGTGTGAATGTGTTTGCTTCTTCCGTGAAAAACAGGATTCTTCGTGAGTTCGATAGCAGACTTGTTATCAACTCTTAGGACCACCTTCTCTTGTGCTTTGTTCATGATTTCGCCTAGCAAATCTTGAAGCCATATTGCTTGACATGCAGCCGCAGTTGCAGCCATGAACTCCGCCTCGCAAGATGATAAAGCAACAGTATCTTGCTTTTGAGAACACCATGTTATTGGAGACAACCCATAGTAGAAAATGTGACCGGTTGTGCTTCTTCCGTCATCTGGATCAACATTATGACTACTATCACTGTAACCAATTATTCGATTTTGTCCCATCCTCTCGTACTTGATTCCGTATCTCGTTGTTCCTCGTAAATACCTTAGGATGTGTTTGATTGCAACACCATGTGATTCTTTTGGATCTTGCATGTATCGACTAACAACTCCAACCGCATATGCCATATCGGGTCTTGTCTGCAAGAGATATCTAAGGCATCCTACCAACTTTCGGTATTGTGTCGGGTCGATTTCGGGTTCATCTTCGGCCTTCGACATTTTGGTTCCTGGATCCATGGGAATGTGGGTCGGATTGCAATCGTGTAAACCGGCTTCTTTTAGAATGCGTCTAGCATACGCTTCTTGGTTTATAGTAATCCCTGATTCTTCTTGTTTGACTTCAATGCCCAGGTAGTAAGTTAATCTTCCAAGATCAGACATCTCGAAGTTCTTGGACATTTCAAATTTGAACCTTTTGATCATGCTCAAATTTGTACCTGTGACAAACAAATCATCAACATAGATTGCTAAAATTAGCAAGTTGGATCCTTCGTTCTTCCGGTACACCGATGGTTCTTTCATGCACTTGTGAAATTTCATTTCTTTCAAAATCCCATCAAGTTTTGTATTCCATGCTCTCGGTGCTTGTCTAAGACCATATAGTGCTTTTGAAAGACGGTACACCTTGTGCTCGTCGCCTTTCCTTATGTAGCCTTCCGGTTGATACAAATAGACGGTTTCTCTCAACTCTCCATGTAAGAAAGCCGTCTTGACATCCAAGTGGTGAAGCTCCCATCCATTGGTAGCGGCTAAGGCAATGAGAAACCGTATGGTTTCGATGCGAGCTACCGGAGCAAATACTTCTTGAAAGTCAATACCAGGTTGTTGTACGTACCCTTTAGCAACCAACCTCGCCTTGTGTTTGTTTATGGTGCCATCTGCATTTTTCTTCAGCTTGAACACCCATTTGAGTCCAATGGGCTTCACCCCCATAGGTTTGTTTACGAGAGACCAAGTATTGTTCTTGTTGATCGAATTGATTTCTGTATTCATGGCTTTGACCCACTCTGGTTCTTTCTTCGCCTCTTCAACCGATACCGGCTCGTCATTGGTTGCTAGGAGAAGTTCTTCAATTTCATCAACATAAAGTACATAATCTCGTAATCGAATTGGAAGCACCTTTTGTCTTGTGGGCCTTTGGTTTTGAACATTGTTCACGTTGTTGTTGATCGGACTTGGTTGCTCATTTTCTTGTACCTCCACTCCGTCTTCAATCTCGTGATCCGATTCGTTTGGTTCGTTGTTTACATCGTTTCCTTGGTTGTTGTTTGCCTCATCTTCCGGTAAATCCCATGGTACTATGAATGATGTTGGTTCTTCATTGTCAGGTGTAGCTTCGTTAACCCAATTCCATCTTTTGGTTTCATTAAAAATAACGTCTCGACTTACGATTATTTTTTGTGTAACCGGGTTAAATAACCGATAGGCTTTTGTACCCGGTTCAGAACCAAGATGAACCAATGGTCTTGATCTTGCATCCAATTTTTTCATGTTTACCGGTTCAACTTTTGCATACGCTAAACACCCAAAGATGCGTACGTTCTCCAAATTAGGTTTTCTTTTATACAACTTCTCGTACGGAGTTGTATCACCAAGTACTCTTGTGTAAACACGGTTGATCAGGTTTGTGGAATGTTTTACCGCTTCTCCCCATAGGTAGTTTGGAACATGCATCGCCTTCATGATACTTCGTGTCATGTCCATAAGTGTTCTGTTTCTTCGTTCCACAATACCGTTTTGTTGTGGTGAATATGGGGCGGTAAGTTGGCGTTTGATTCCATTTATATCACAAAAGGAATTAAACTCGAGCGAAGTAAACTCACCTCCTCGATCACTTCGAAACACCTTTAAAGACTTTCCGAGCTCATTCTCCGCCAAAGCTTTAAATTTTTTGAAGTGTAAAAACGCTTCATTTTTCTCTTTTAAGAGAAAAATCCACATATACCGTGAAAAATCGTCAATTAGTGTGAAAATGTACCGATTTTGACCCTTCGTTGACGGTGTTATCGGACCACATAAATCACCGTGAACTAGCTCCAATGGCCGTGTTGCTTTGTACGTCGTCATTAATGGAAATGACTTTCTTGTTTGCTTGCCCACCAAACAAGATTCACACAATTGATTTTCACTGTCAAAATGGGGTAACCCTTTGACTAGACCTTTCTTGGACATCTTTTTCATTGACTCGAAATTGATGTGTCCAAGTCTTGCATGCCAGCGCCACGTGTCTTCACTCAGTCTTGTATGAAGGCAAATAGGTACTCCAATGGGCAACTGTATTTTATAAAGGCGGTTTGGAGTTCTTTGTACCTTCATTAACAAGCAGTTGTCGGCATCATGCATTGTCAAATAGTTGTCTTTCATCCGAATATCGCACCCGGCTTCGGTTGCTTGTCCGAGACTGAAAATATTATTTTTCAAATCCGGAATGAAATAAATCTCCGTTATCAATCGTTGTTGTCCCGATTTTCCTTGGAAAACAATTGAGCCTTTCCCTTTTATTTCGACACACGAATTATCACCGAATTTGACCTTTCCGGTTATTCCTTCGTCGAGTTCGGAGAAAAATGAACGATTTCCCGTCATGTGATTACTTGCCCCGTTGTCCAAATACCACACATCGTTTTCTTGTGAGTTGTATCGAGACGGTATCACCTTCTCTTCGT